TGTATAACTGAAAAATTATGCTCTACACTGGAATTTGACAGAACATTGTAAAATGATTATAAACCAATTAGAAAATGTTAAAAAAAAACTAGAGGTCTTATGGTACTTCTTTCTACTATTAGTTCTGTTTGTAACTTCAAATAATATATTTGTACCTCTATTTCTAGATCCACTATAAGAGGATGGCCTTACCCTTTCTTCTACATTTCAGTCAATTAAATGTTGACATTGTTAGACTGTTAATATGTATATTCTATTCTGGATAAGCCTCTACTAGTTTGTCTATAAGCTTGTCTCTAAAAGTTGAAAACAGCATTTACACCAATCTGACTACAGGTGAGTGTGTTGGTGTACAGAGTGCCTTAATCTTGGTAAGACTGTTTTCAGTAGTGGTAACATCTTAAAAACAATAATATATTCAGATTTTTTTTTTAAGCACAGATCTGATGGTGCTGAATTCTCTTAGCTTTCATTCATCTTGGATGTTTATTTTGTTTTCAGTTTTAAAGGATATTTTCCTGGATACAGAATTCTGGGCTGATAAATTTTTTATTTCAGCACTTTGAAGATGTCATTTCATTGTAAGTTGGTCTCCACTGTTTCTGATAAGAAGTTAGTTAACATTCATATCTTTGCTCCTATGCATGCAAGGTATAGTTTTTCTCTGGTTCCTTTCATTACCTTTGGTCTGTGTCAAGGTGTAATTTTCTTTATATCCTGTGTAGTTCACCGAATTTTTAGATCTCTAAGTTGCTTTTCACCAAATATGAAGAAATTTTGGCCATTATTTCTTAAGATATTTTTTCTGCCACATTGTCTTTTATTTTTTGAGAGGAGAGGGGTAATCCCAATTACATGTATATTATTAGCTGACATTGACTTATAGACCTGAGGCTTTTATTCATTTTTCAAAAACAACTTTTCACTCTCTTTTCAGATTGGACAATTTCTATGGATCTGTAGTCAAGTGGACCCTTTTATTCTCACCTTCATCTTATGTATGCTAAGCCCCATTTTCCATATCAGATATTGCATTTTTAAATTCCTGAATTTCCACTTGGTTCTTTTTTATAGTTTTAATCTGGTCACTCACTGTGATCATATTGTCCATTAACTTCTTGGACATGCTTATAATATTTGCTTTAAAGTCCCTGTCTGCTAATTCCTTTATCTGGATCACCTTGAGATCTGTTTTTATTGACTGCTTTTTTTTCCCTTTTCCCATTAAGGGTTACATTTTCTTATGTCTTCACATGTGTAGTAATGTTTGGTTTTATTCAGGACATTGTAACATTACAAGTAAGGAGTCTGATTATGTTATAATCCAATAAGCTCAACTTCAAAAAGTGCTGACTTTTGTTCTGGTAGGTTAATTTTATTGCAGCAGGCCAAAATTTAAAAACTGTTATGACAGCAAGCCCAAAATTTAAAAACTGCATATGAGCACATCATGTCTAGCAACTGAAAAATATGGTGCTTTATAAATCAAAAGGAAGGGTATTATAAATATGTTTTTGAGTACACCAAGGAACTTACTTTAATGAAACAAAATCGCACAAATTTCTCAAACTGTGATTTGGTCTCTGCATTACAGAAGGCTGAAACTGGGATGGCTGACAGTTTCTGAAAAATAAATAGAAAGATAAAATAGGAAAAATAGGAAAATTACTTACATTTTAAATATTAATTTTAGGACCACAAACATTAGAAATAGTTACTTCTAAATATTAACAATGTCTAAAAGAAAAATGTTTTTAAAATCTTACAAATAGCTACGAGTAGACAATCATCTAACAAAACTAGTTATCATTGTTTAAAGCAGATCAGCAGGATTCCTTCATAAATTAAGTATAACACAGCACAATACTACAAAGGCCAATAAATATTACCTTATTTTTAGTCATCCATTTCACAAATTTATAGTCGTAAGGTTCACTGCTGTCCTTCATATCAGAGAGGTCTGCATCTAAAACAACAATAAAACTTGAATGGCCTGTATATTATGTCTGAGGCAACATGTATCTCATTTGTCTATGAAGATTCAAACTTTCCTCAGAAGATATCCACAGAATCTGCTGGAGACTCACCCTGCATGGTGTGGGAAGTAAGGGTTTCACCGGTGAGCTTTACTGACACTCTGAGGCAGTACTCACATACACATCTGGTTGATCATGCTTGTGTATGTACCTTTTAGTACTGGAAGAGAGCAGGAAAGGGGAAGGAAGGAGTGCTGCCTTTCCATTTAGAAATAATATGTCTCTACGATCATTATTATAGAAATAAAACCTAAATTTACAGAGTGTTCGTCCATAATAATTATACCCCCAAATAGTAATTATTAATTAGGTTGTAAGCTCCACAAGGGCAATGTCATTATCCACAACTCCTAGATCATGTCTAGTATATAAGTAATGAGAAGCATTTTATGGAATGAATGAATGAATATTATATATTATTTATGAAGAGAGAATGTCTGTGTAGTTCTTGCAAGTGATATCTTTATTGTTTCCTCTTCCAAATATTATGCTTAAATTTTTTTTTAATTTGGTGAAAAACTTCAAATATGTATTCCTGTATTTATCTCTCGCTCTAATCTTGCTTTAAATTCTAGGCAAGCTGTTTCTCTGGCATTCAGTTTCAGCAATCTACATTTCATATTATTTCAGTCTTACTGATTTGTACACTTAGATCTGTTTGAATGCCCTAAAGCAACTAACACTGATGGTTACTATAATCAATGAAATTTTACAATTTATTGCTCAAAATAAATTGAGACAGTTATCTTCTTTCTTTCGTTCACTAAATATCACTGGCTCTTTAAATTAACAGTGTAAAATTCTTGACATTGAAGAAAGTTTAACTTGCATTTTTTTTATGTCTTACTATGGTTTTCCTTAATGATTTTATTTCCGTTTTCCCCTGTGCTTTAAGAATGTAAAATTTCTGTAAGATAATGCTAATAATATTCTACCATTTATTTAGTACCTCCTATTTGTTAAGCAGGTTACATGATTCTCTCATTTATTTGTCCTACAATTCTGAGAGAAGCAACAATCCTCACTTTACAAATGACGATTACTATTTCAAGTTATATGTATGTGTGTTTAATTCAGGTTGGGCTCTAACAAAAATGACAACGTAGAACAGTTAGAGACTAATTGTAAATTATGTGAAACTACTAGTACTGCATGGGTGGCTCAGCGGTAGAATTCTCGCCTGCCATGTGACTACTGGTACTCAGTAGTAGTATATGCAAAGGAAACCTGGAGAAAGGAGTGATTACTCCTGGCTGTAGGAAGAAGAACAGGAGGTTATCAACTGGCTTTACTACTCATTTATTCTTGTAAAGATTAGAAAAGAGAAATTTATTGCCATGGTATTCAAAAAAAAAAAAAGAAGAGAATAAATACAATTCTAAAGATTTTACAGTGAAGAGAAAGTTGGAATCTATTTCTTTTGAATACTTGAGTCAGACACCCTCAAAGGAACTAAACAAAATACTTCTTTATCAAAGGTAGGAGTTTGAACCATTTTATAATAACACTAGCTTATTTAAGTAACCTATGAAAATTAAAATTGGTGGTTGTATTCTTACCATATTCTCCATAATTTTGGACCTTATTATCTCACTAGAACAATTGTAATAATCTTCTTGTTTGTTTCTTGTCTTCTAAATCAGATGTTCCCTTTTTAGTTCTAGGATGAAGCTCATTGGTTGGGAAAGTTGCTTAGTTTAGCAGAAAAAAGATAAGTTCACTGGTTAAGACATGGATCTCTGGGTTCAGAGATCAGTTCTGCTACTTATTATTTGATTAACCTCAGTAAATTTCTTAATCTTCTATCTCACCTTTCTCAAGTATCAATGAAGATATAATAGTACCAATCTCATAGGGCTTTTGTGAGAATGTGATATTTGTAAAGCTCTTAGCATAATACCGGCTAAATCATAAATACTGAAAAAATATTAACCATTTAGCCATTGCTATGAGTTACACACGGAATTACTATGTTCATGAATTTTACAGTTCATCTTTATTTTCAAGCTACCTTCAAATGAAAGTTTTCTTTTTTTGCTTTTTGTCTTTAGCAAATGGTGGGACAAACCTCTAGTATATGGAAGAATTTCTACATTCAAATTAATCTGAACAGATGAAAGAGTAAAATAAAACGAACTTGTCTTCAGATGTAGAAGGGTCTTACAGACATTAACATTTTCCCCCTACAGGTGAAGGAGCATCATAAAGAATGGGCATCCTTTCCATCATCACAAAAGGTTTTCTAACAAAAATCCTTTCTGCTCCTATTACAACTACATTAGTTTAAGATCTAGGACCTAAACCAATATTGCTTTCAGGCTGGATCAACTGAGGATAGAATGGGAAACTACTTAAGAGCTTAATACAATAATCCAAGCAAAAGTTGCATTACTGTCCTTTTTGATGCTTGATGTCAAATATGGTGAATCCCTTTTAGAACCTACTCTGAAAAAGTTTGGTTCCAGGGAAGATTTATTCTTACCTAAAAAGCTGTTACATTTACTTTCACCCAAGAATTATGTAACTAATTCTATTTTTCTATTTGCCTTTGCTGCCCTGAGGTTTGGGCTCAAGTTAATGCTAACTACAATACAGTTGACCCTTGAACAATACAGGTTTGAACTGCGTGAG